TAGAGAAATTGGGAGTGAAGTTAAGCCCAGGAAGAAGGGAGGGGTGGGGGGAAGGTGTTTAAGATTTGGTTTTCTTTCGCATTACCCTTCTCTGATTTGATTGGTAATAAATTAAGCTAATTTCCCCGAGTACAGTCAGTTTTGCCCATGGTGGTAGTTGGTGCATGATCTCTCCCTGTCCTTATCTCAACCCATGAGCCTTTCGTTGTATTTTTCTCCACCTGTCCAGCTGAGGAGGGGGAGTGATAGAGTGGTTTGGTGGGCACCTGGTATCTAGCCAAGGTCAACCCACTACACTGTGATAATGCTTTTTACCTTTCTTAGAGGTTCGTAACGATGTTACTTATCAATACAATTGAAATATTGAATTATATATTAATATCCATATAGCCATCTTTAAAAATGCTGATATCCCTTTTTGTGGGCAAGGTAAGCAGACCTACTTTAATTCTGTAACCCTGTAATTGGTTTTGGTGAAATGCCAGTTCCTAATGCAGTTCTTGGTTTTATTTACAGAACTGAAATGGCTCAGGAGACAAACCAGACCCCAGGGCCCATGCTAGGTTTGAGTCTTTTTATTTTTTTTTTTTGGTCTTGAAATAATATATAATATATAGATGATGAGAAGAATCGCAGAATTTATTTCAGGAGATCTTCATATAGCTGCATACTAAAACTATGAATATCAAAGGGAATAATACTTTAAATTGCAGTAAAAATAAAAATGCATTTTTGTGTAATATATTGTGGCCCACAATCCCTGTATGTTGGTCATTAACAATATAGTCTGTCTTTTAATTAAGAAGATGCAGTAGAATGAGGAATGATTGGAAACAGTTCATAACTGTATGCAAAACTACTTGACTAACTTGTAATCTATACTTTGCTTATAATTAATTTCTCAAATTTCTGTTATATAGGGACAACTAGTGGTTCAAACAGTCCTACCTCAGACTCTGCATCTGTACAGAGAGCAGATACTAGCTTAAACAACTGTGAAGGTACTGCTAGTAGCACATCTGAAAAATCAAGGTAAGATCATAGAATCATTTAGGTTGGAAAAGACCCTTAAGATCATTGAGTCCAACCGTTAACCTAACACTGCCAAGTCCACCACTAAACCATGTCCTGGAGCACCACGTCTACCCTTCTTTTAAATACCTCCAGGGATGGGGACTCAACCACCTCCCTGGGCAGCCTGTTCCAGTGCCTGACAACCCTTTTGGTGAAGAAGTTTTTCCTAATATCCAACCTAAACCTCCCCTGGTGCAACTTGAGGCAATTTCCTCTTGTCCTGTCAGTTGTTACTTGGGAGAAGAGACCGACCCCCACCTTGCTACAACCTCCTTTCAGGTAGTTGTAGAGAGCAATAAGGTCTCCCCTCAGCCTCCTCTTCTCCAGGCTAAACAACCCCAGCTCCCTCAGCTGCTCCTCATAAGACTTATTCTCTGGACCCTTTACCAGATGAAGGTATTATTTTGAGGTTTGAATGAACTGTGAGTGTATAGCAAGTTAAAGTAACATTGCAGTAACCTTGCCCTATTACAGTGAGTTTCTGCAGAAGAAAAAAGGACAGTGTGCCCGACAGTGCTTTATGAATCTTTATAACGGAGAACTAATTAGTGTTTGGTGTTGGACTACTGCATTTACAAGGATATTTCTGGTTTGTGTGGGGAAATATTTGCTACAGATTGCCTAGTCTCTTCTAGGGAAGAGAGATAGTAGAAGTACAGGTCAGGAATGTATATCAATAATAACTGATCAGGTAGTCTATTGATGGATTTTGACAGTTTAAGCTCCTTTTATGAACTCAAAACTAATGTAATTACCCATTTCACTGTACGTAAACAGAAATGTGCCTGTTGCCGCTTTGCCTGTAATGCAGCAAATGACAGAAATGAGCATTTCAAGAGAGGAAAAAGTATCACCGAAAACAGAGACCGAGCCAGGTATGTCTGCAGAGTAACACTGGGTACAACTGACTTAACAGAAGCTGGCAATTTATTTACTTTCTCTTAAGTAGGTGTGTCCCTCTGTGGTGATTGTCTTGAGGAACTGTTAATTATGGATGCTTCTTGAGTATTAGTACCTTCAGAATCAAGAAAAATGATTAGTGCCAGAATATAGTTTTCAGACACACATTCAATTTTAGTAGATAACGTGACACTTGAGGAGCATTTTGGCTATCAAACCTTAATTTTTAAAATTAAGACACTTAAATTGTATCTGGGTGCAAGATGTTCAATTTTGAAGTCAGTGTTGATTTTTGTATAAAATCTAGTAGTACAGTTCCTGATGACTCATGGCAATCAAAATGGTTTGTTGCGTTTGAAGAACAGAGTTCTTAATAAATTCTGTTCTATAGAAGGATGAAGGTGGGGGAGAAGGGAATAATTGATTTAAAATACTAACAAAGACTGCTAAAGGTTCTTGGACTGAGTAATCAGTAGATATAACCAGAACATTGTTCTGTCAATATAGAATACTTATGGCATTAATTGCTTAGTGAGAACGTTCGATTTAAAAGTTTTACTCCTGTTCAGGAAGGCTGTAGTATTTGAACTTTGAAGTGTAAAGTATTTCTTGGTGGGAGGTGGGGAGGGACTGCTTCCCTACCTACTAGCGAGTGATTGAATTCATGTTTTATTATATAGCAGTTTATTCAAATCTTAATGTACTTGTATCTTAATGTACTTGTTCAATATCTATAGATATTGACACTTGTTAATTTTAACAGTTCTGAAACAGTCTTAAAACATTAAAAGCTGATGTTTAATAGGAAAATCTGTTCACTACAACTGAAGATAAAATGATTTTTTTGTTTTGAAAATCTGAGTTGAAAATTCCAGAAGGTATCACTCAGCACTATATAGATGCATCTTTGTCAATAAGACTGCTGTTACAGCTGATAATTAATTGCTTGGTGTTTGTACACAGGTTTTTACTATTTTAATTAAGTCATGTTAAGTTAAAATTGTGACATGAACTAAATTATAGTTGCTTTTGCTATATTCTTTTTTGGTTATGTACAGACTGAGATTTTTTTCATGTTTCAGCTTCTTGTAACTTATGTTATTTAAAGAGACTTACTGTATGTAACTTAAATATTGTGACAAAGTATAAATTTCTATAAACCCATATTGTCTTGTTATGAATTACTAATTGAAAAAGTGACAGGCAGGAAAGAAATACATAAAATGGTCACAGTGGTCAAATAGTAGCTGAACTTTGTCTTATTAAAACTGCCAATAGGGATTTGTCATTTTGCCAACTGTAAAGGGCAATCTTCTGTTTCTGTTGACTCAATATCCATTTTCTCATAATGAGGCAACTAAATGGTAGTGTCACACAGCACTCTATTGATTAGAATGGGGGGGAAAATACATAAAAGAAACTCAAGTTAATAATCTTGCAGGTTGAAACCAGTTAAAGCTCTGTTAAAGCTTGTGTAGAGATCATTGGGAAAACTACCGTAGAATTTAAATGTTTGGAAAAAAAAAAAAAACCTTCTATAACGAAACTGTCCTCCTTAGTACATATCCATAAATTCTTGAAACAGTCTTCAGCTGCTCTAAAAGTAGAAGTTCATCAAGTTGGGGGCAGATTTTAGACAGCACAGAATAGTGTCCTTATACATGTCCTTTATATACTATTCTTAAATTACAAAGGGTTTATTGGACACTTAAGATATACCAAGTGTTTGCTGTATTCACTAGTATGTTGATCCTGTAAGTGTATTGCAGTCAAGAAAAGCTGGCCTCAGCTTTTTATAAATCCCTATTGTGTTTGGGCTAGTTCCATGTTTTTTCTTCCTCTTTTCCAGCAGTATCCAATATGTGTTGGTCTCTCTTGAGGAGGAGCTGAAACAATAGTAGAGTAGATAATTCGTGTCACCTCTTAACAGCAAAGCTAATACTTTCTGTGAGATGTAATTCTCTAAGATAATGCCTGTTATGATGTTGCTAATGAAAAGACTGTTTAATTTTATGTGTAGTCTCATCCTGGCAATTGAATTTCATAACCGTCTATCAGATGGTAGGTCAGGAACAAACAATGTAGCCTTCAAGCAAAGTAGGTCTTTTTTTTGTCTTCAGCACTATGAAGGTTTGTTCTTTTCTGCAAGCCAGAAAGTTCTAAATAGTTAGGTCTGGACAATTGTCTTCAAGTCTGTGGACTAAAAGTATACTTTGTTGCTGTTGGGATTTAAGCATCTGATTCTAAAAGGTTCTGAAGTTGACAAAAATGAAGCTTAACAGGCTTGTTTTTTCTTTTGTTTTTCCCAGATTGAGGTTGTAACCTGGATTCTCATTCAGAACAAATCAGGTCTGAAGGCAATTAATAATATCTTAGCATTTGAAGGAAGAAAGGCATGACATGTAACTGGCCTAGTTGGTTGTAATTTAGATGTCTAACATGCTATATTTTGTTGTAACTTGTAATTTCTTAGTTCAACTTTCTTGCTTGTTGTAGTTTTGTAATTGAATTGTGGCATATGTTCAGTCCAGTTGCTTATCTGATGAACTGTTCACAAGTCAGTGAAATATAAAGACCTTTATACCAAAACTCCAATTCATAATTGGGCGTTAGTTATATCATACATTTTATAAGCTTTTGATATGCTTCTACACTTCTTAATTAAGGATTGAATTCTAGTCCAGTCTTGACCAAAGTCAGAATATACCTGAAGCATTGTAGAGATACTGTTTATACTTGTGGGTTTTTCCATGCTAATTTACAGGAATTAAATGCAAAAAACCCTTATCTAACTCCTTTACTTTCCTTATGCTGATTATTACATCAGAGCAATACCATTACCAAGTTGGTGAGGCATAGTGGAGGCTTTTAAGAAACCTGTTTTGTTTTAGCAGGTTTTTAAGTGGCAATAAAACATCCATACAAGAGGGATGACTTACATATTGAGCACTAAACTCAAACTGTTCTGAAAACAAGTATGTTTAAATAATCATATTGTATCAAGTCATAGCATATTTTTAGCTTTTTTTTTTGCTTTTGTGGGTCACTACCTTTCTGAATGAGTCTCCCGTCAGGTCTGTCAGTGTTTCCAGACTTAATTAGTATCAGCATGCATATAAAAAACTATTTTTCTTAACCCAGTAATAGCTTTGCTTTAGGGAGCAGTGTGGTGAGTTATTGCTCTGAAGCCACAGCTGTGGAATAGTGCTGCCTGTAAAGGAAGTGAACTGGAACTTGAAATGTGTATGGTCTTGTGTAAAATAAGTGTTAAAAGATCTTCCCCAAATATTGTTAACTTAGTCTTATTCTATCCACGTTGTAGGTTACCCTTTCCATTCCTGGAAGCTGACATTTAATGGAATTCATGAGATGATGGTTAGCTCACTTGTCTTTTGGCTCTGTACCAAGCCAATATGATGAGTTATTTTAATGTTAAATGCCACAGCTGTCCTACATGCAGGTTGAGACCCTGCTATGGGTTGCCCTTACTTATGTTATAGATAAAACCAGTAGCTATGATACATACAGTGTGTGTTGCAGATAATATTCTGAGTAAGATGCTGAATAGACAGCTATCTTATGAGATACTGAAGGTTCAAGATGATAAATAGATTATATTGCTTGGTTCTTGTTTTAATAACTGATTCTGATTTGTTTTCAAACATGGCTATAGTATTTAACTGTGGGTGCTATCTGTAGACAGTTCCTTTGTGGCTGTTGATAAAAAAAATCATATATATCAACTTTTGTGTTAAAAATTATCTTCCCATTTCCCATGTCTGCTGTAGCTTGAGTAGATGTCCCTGATTGGAACTGAATAATCTCTTCTAAGTTTTGAAGCTGTCTACCTTGAAAAATAAGACTGAGGACCCAACTGCTGGTCCTGTGCTCGTTGCTGATAGGATGCTATTGTATCTTGAGAGATGTGCAACGGGCATCAAGTCTTGATGGTAACCAAATTAAACCATATTTTGGTGTGATACTTAAACAGGGGTATCTGTTATATTGATGTAAGAGTAAAAATATTCAGTGTGCCTGTTAGTTGGACACATGGGAGATTAGTTACATGCTCCAGAATAGTTTTATCCCAGTTCTTTGGCATCAAATTAAAAATGCAGTTTATTCTTTAGCCTTTTATCATGGATCAGCATAGATCAGCATAGCAATTGCAGTTTCTGAAGAATAAAATATTAATTCTCAAGCTTGATAAAGCATAATAAATACTGTCCATCTTATTTTTAATGACTCAAACTTTATATACAAGTCAGTTGTGTTAATGTGCAGCGTAAGGATTATGTAATCTGTAGTATAATTTTCAGTTCTGGTATTGCAGAAGTGCAGTATGTCTTTCTGATGACTTTTGGGTGCTCTTTGTCTATTGCCTTTATTCCTTGTTCTGTTTTAATTTTCCCAGTTCTTCCGTGGTGGGAGTTGGGGATTACCTTCATGTAAAAGTAGTTAGAATACTTAAAACCTTTTTTTTTATGCTCTCAAGCATTTCGCTCTTCACTGGCATGCTTACTGCTTCCTAGTACTGTGGAAGTCAATGCAGTTTGTTAAACTGCTAGGGTTCTATTTTGGGTAATTTGTTTGGGTATAGAGGAAGCTTCTAAAAACCTTATTGGTATTACTTTGGTAGCCCTTTCTGGTTGCTTTAAATATGGGGAGGTGTAGTGGGTTGACCTTGGCTGACTGCCGGATGCAGACCCAGCTGTTCTCTTGCTCCTCAGCAGGACAGGGGAAGAAAATAAGATAGAAAAGCTTGTGGGTCGAGATAAGGACAGGGCTACCAATTACAGTCACAGGCAAAACACTCAACTGGGGGAAAACGAATTTAATTTATTGCCAACTAAAAAAAAATGGAGCGGGATGGTAAGAAACAAAACTAAAAATGCCTTCCCCCACCCCCTTCTTCCCAGGCTCAACTTTACTCCTTTATTTCAGACTCTTCTACCTCCTCCCTCTATTCTGAGTG